ATCTCTCCGGGGCACATTAGAAGTATGTAATTGAGTTGCTCGGAATAATAAAACTTTAGGGAGCACTTTAGCAGTTAGCCTTGCTCGTAATTTTGTTATTCACTGCAGTCGTCCCTTTTGAGTCTTTTCGAAATTCCATTACTTTCTCGTCGAAACGCCGATCATTATTTTTTTCTCTTTTTGAAAAGCTCGCGAGAAACGCCAGCAGTTCAAGTTTCATCGAGTAATTACCGCGGAACAACGCTGGGATGGAAAGTTGTTACCGATTCGACAATATTTACTTGCCAACGGCTGTCAAGTTTTTTTTCAAAAATAATAAACGCAACGACGAGGTCTGGCAATTGCCGCACTTAGAGAAAGAGCCTTATAAAAGTTACTATAATTGTAAGAGAAAAATTACTATAAAATTAAGTAAAGTAACGGAACGTACTTCCGTTGTAATAATTTCTTAATATAGGCTGCATCAAATTTTACTATATGGTTATAGTAAATTTTACTGCGATCCGGAAGGAGATGGAACAAAATTATCTCAATTTCTACGAGGGTCGTTCAATGAGTCCGAGACTCCTCAGAAGATAGTGCTATTACGTAACGTATTTTATACACTAAGACTCCCATCTAATATGAGACGTATACAAAGTTGGAAAAGTTTTTACAGCTATTTGAATTTAGTGTTTCATTGAGCATATAACAACATGGAAAAAAGCGAGAGTTTTGCGTGCTTATCAAACATAATTTTCTACGAGGGAAGTCATACGAGGGAAACCAACTGAGCAGAAGCTGAGGAAATAATGTGCAGTCTCTGCGCTTCATGGTATGGCATGATTCAAAAGTGGCTTACTGAATTTCGCTATGTCCGTAAGAGCACAAGTGACACCGACTACTCAGGAAGTGATCATAAGCTTCGTGATATTACACTCGTCGATCATCGATTGAAAGTGCGAGAGATCAGCGAGGCTCTGAACATTTCAGGTGGATGCTCATGGAGCATTTTACATGAATTTTCGAACGTGAGGAAGCTGTCTGCAAGACGAATTAATAACAAGCGGGCTCCTGCGGTTGTGTCTCAGCAATGTTCGAGCGTGTTTTAATGTAACCCAAAGAAGTTTTTGCGACGTAACGTTACTATTGATGAACATTGGATTTATTGTTATACGCCAAAAATGAAAAATCTGTCGATAACCGCGTCGAATAACGCGAAGACGGTATCGGCCGGAAAGCTCGTGGCTACTATTTTTTGGGATTCAATTGGTATAATATTAATCGATTACCTACAAACAGGAAAAACTATTATAGGAGAATGATATGTCTCATTAGATCGATTTAATGCTATGCTGAAAGAAAATCGGCCGCGTTTGATGGAAAATAAGTTCTTTTCCACCACGATAGCTCACGAGTTCGATTGCAACCGCCTAATTATTTGATTTATGCTACGAAATACTTCCTCGTCCAGTTTACTCTTCAGATTTGGCCCCTTCGGATTACTCCTTGTTTCCTAACATAAAAACTTACAAATAAAAGATTTTTATCGGACGAAAAGGTCCTTGTTGCGATAAATGAGTATGTTGAGGAGTTTGATAAAAATTACTGTCCTGGGGGCATAAAAAAACTTGAGCACAGCTATAATAAATACGGAAAGTTAAAAAGGCCTATTTTGACATATAAATTAGAATTATTTAAATAACTAGGTTTTTTTTTTTTTTTTTTTTTTTTTTTAAAGTCACGGACGTATTGAAAGACCTTCGTATATTACCAGTATTCTAACACTGAAGTTTTGTTTCGCTCGCGTGACCACGTACTTTCCACAAGTATCAATACACTTATTTCTAAAGCAAGAAATTTCTGTTACATATTAAGTGCTAGCCACTTACGAATTACTAATAGTCATGCAAAATCATTATACCGTTCTTTGAAACGTCATTTGCCTTAAAAAAAGGGAGGGGAACTGCTGATGGCGTTGACTCCGGACAGATTAATTTTTACTATGCGACGTATTAAAATTCACTAACTCCAATACTTTTTGCTACAACAATAATAATTGTTGTTACGGCCATTGTAGTTAGTGTTAAAGGCAGAACAATTTTTATACATAATAAAACGATATTTATTATGCCGTACGATAAATATCAACAGCACAAAATTTTACATCGTAGTTTTATAATTTTTCTGAAGGATCTTGTAATGGCACATTTGTAATAATGACTATAATATGTATAAAAATGTTTATCGTAACTGAAATATATCCCCACTTTATAATATTTACACAGTAAATTTAATTAGGTCATTTGTCTCAGCGCATCGCTATCGATCGTTTCTTCAACGGGCCGAGACCACGAGGAACAATTGGCACCTTGGACGAAACTGCGTACGGAGATCTCGTTTTAGCATGCAAATCCTCCTTCCGCCGCGGCGTCAGCATGCGCAAAGCTAATAGAGATTCCTTCGAGCCCAGGCGCAGCCGCAACCTCGCGCAAGCTCAAACGCGACCCACGCACAACCTTCTCTAGACTAGCGCGTGAATGGGAGCTTGCAGTCCCGTAAGTCGAAGGTTGCCTCCCTCTCCCTGCCCCGTATTATCGTCATTTTGCCGCGTGACGTAGACGACGGGGACGGGCGAGGTTTTAAATTAGATGCGCGCGGCTCAAGTGGCTTTCAGCCAATCAGCCGTGATTAATTACCTGCCGCGCGCTCGCAACTTGCGTGTGGGAGTTTTCGCGCGAGATCGCATTTTTTTTTCAACGCTCGACTTATTTTGCGCCACTCAGTTAAGGCGCGCGAAACCTGCTGTCGTTCATGCTCTTCTGCAGAGAATAAAGGGTTCATGGGAGAAACGCGATAAATGTCATCCATCCGCGAGAATGAAAGTACAACGCGGCGTAAAGCACATCCCCCTTTAAAAGCCGGCCGACGGCAGCAGCACTCGTCTTTTTTATTTCCTTTTTGCAGCAACGGAAGTGGGTATAAATGTATCGCCCGGGTTTTTTTTTTATTTTTTTTTTTATTTTCAACTGAGTTCGCGCCTTTTATATCAAAAGCTTCGCGTATAATCTCGCGCGGCCGATGCATCGTCACGTCCACGTTCTTTTTCATCTCATTCTATTCGCGTATCCTGGCCTCTTTATGGACGAAGCTTAAGTCACACTCGTACTTTCTGATCGTTTGTTCAGAGATTAAATGGAGATGTTGCGCTGCGGAACGCACTCCAAGCAGATGTCATTGCCGTTGCGAGCTTTTCCTCGGCCGAGCGAAGAATCTGCCTTCGTTTTCGCGCGACTATTCGGAATGACGAGAACCGCAACGAGCAAGTCGAACGATTTAGCAAAAGTGTAATCGGAAAAGTACATGCTGATCTCTGCTTCGTCTCCGTCTAACTGCACGAAATTGCTTTTCTCAATGCCAAAGCCTAATTACGCTTGCTGCCAATTCCCAGGTGAAATATTTCGATTCGCGCGTGCACCCTCATCCTTGATAGCAAGAAAAGAAAAAAACTAAATCGAGTCTTGCGTCATTGCGAGAATCTTTGCCATATATTTCGTTGTCGGATGAGATTCCTCCTACACGCGCGTGTATACCTCCGATCTGTTTTCCGTCTCTTTTTTTCCTGGGATTATCGCGCCTGTATCTTGCCTCTTCTTTTTTTTCTCTTTTGTCTTCCACACCGAGGGAATTTTCTGACGATGGTTTTTCCGTGAGACAAGAAAGTGGCACCATTTTTCGCGGCATGTTCTTTCTTTCGTTTTTTGTTTTCTTTTCGTTCGCGAGAAATCATTATCGGTGAGTTGACATGTCATGCTTGATTGTTTCAGGAAATTGTTTGCCTCGAACGAAAGGGGAGTATCCCTATCCAATTACCCCGGCTTTCTTTTTAAAATGCCTTGTATCGCAAAATTCTCGCAAGACTTTTAACGAGCCAGCTAAAGCTAACTCGCCAGGAAAATTAATTAGGAAACAGACGCGGATCGGGAAAAATTGCACGGCTTGCTCTCTCTCCGTCCAATCCCCCTCTGACGCCCAAGGAGAATCGGGTTGAAGCCCGCAAGTGGTGTCGTTGACGTCGCCGCGCGTAAAATGCCAATCGGCCGACTATACCGACGGCAATCTTCGTTCAATTGATAATCGAATATTTGGCGAAGTCGAAAGTGTTAGAGTCGAAGATACGTGGTCGAGTTCTCACATCGAGTGGCGAGAAGGAAGATGCAAAACTTTTAAAACCTGTTCGCTTAATTAACAGCTCGTGACGAATAAACCTGTCAATTAAGTCGCTTAATCAATTCGATTAATCTTTCAATCGCGTTTTTTTTTTCTTTTTTTTCGTGCCCCTGCGAATAATTTCCATTTATAATAGAGGAGCTTCTCTAATGAAGTAATTACACCTGGATATTTTCACTTTTACGAGTAAGAAAGAAATGATAAAGAGCTTTGTGCGCGTCTTCTTGAGAGTTTCTATTTCCGCGAGCGTTAATTAATCGCATGACAGGCGTCTCGCAGTGCTTCGCCTTTTCTTTCTCGCGCCCGTTCGTAGAAAGGAGAGAGAGAGAGAGAGAGAGAGAGAGAGAGAAGGTTTACTTGAATCTCTTCGATTGTCGAATGGCGACGCAGGGAGTCCGTAAAGCCTTGCAGCAGACGAGGCCCGGAATGTCGTTAAATGACAAGAGCAAAAGCAGTCAACTGATTACCGACGGCAACGAGGCTCTAAAAACTGAATCCTATTCGAACCGACAGCGCTATTCGCTCGCTAAGTCTCGTGTATAGCTTAGCCGGCCAAATTGTCGTTCAAATCTCATGCATTTCACCGAATCGCAGGTATTGGCGCACGCAAGCGCTGGGAAGGATTAGTCGTCGCGATCGAATGTATCAGCGCGGGCCGAGAGTCGTTTGATCTCGTTAAAAGCCGTATCTCTTCCGAGTGACTAGCCGACGATCGAAAAATCAAAGCGAAATCGTGGCGAATCGATCGCCTTACCGTCAGTCAATTTACACGTTGTTCTTTGTTCACGCAGGGAGGAGGTGCAAGAACACACAGTCAGATGGAACGCGAGCTTCAAGTTCATCTGTAAAATGAGTGCCAATGCGTCTACCGGCGTGTTAGACCCTTGTATATTAAGAATATCCGTGAGGAAGGTAAGTTTTGTCGAGCGACAAGTCGCGCATTTGGTGAATCCCGCTTGAGTGGCTTCGCACGTGCCCATAGGAATCGAAGGGAGGCAGGTCCTTCCAGAAGCTCGGCTTCATCGACCTCAATCTGGCTGAATTCGCCGGCGCAGGTCTTTGCCGTAGGCGATGCCTTCTCGAGGGCTACGACGCACGACACCGACAAGACAATTCCATGCTGAGGGTGGCCATCAAGATGAACATGCTGTCCGGCGACATCCTCTTCAAAGTGTAAGTATCCTTTCCTTTTGCTCGCGCGAGCTGAGATTCTTTGCGGACACTCGTCAGTGGTGTAATTGGCGCTTTTCCGTTGCAGACCTTCGCCGTCGCTGAAGCAAACGCAGCTCGCAGTGCCAGGTGTCCCGGGCGTGGTGCCGGTGGAAACGGTGGACGAGGGCACGACAACGGCCGAGCGTGGCGTTGGCAATCGCGAGGATTACGTGTCGACGGGTTCTCTCGCCGGTAGTATCGCCAGTACCAGTAGCGGCTTCGGCAGTCTTCCCAAGAAGAGGCCGGCACTCTTCACCTCCGGCAAATATTCCAATTGCTTTTTTTTTCACTCGTTCAATTCGAATCCGCGTTCTCGCTCCCACGAAACATTGCCGACGATGAATTCAACACGTTCGCCGCCAGCGCCGCCATCGCCGCCACCGCCGCCGTGTCCATGTCCGGCATAAGTGTTCTTTTTTTCGTTTCTATCGATTAATGAAATTGGCAGAACATCCGATTGTCGAACGGTGATGCCGCTTTGAAAAAACACTGCAGCACACGCGGGAAACCGAACGAAAGGCCATCGTGAGCCAGTGTCGGGTGGTGCGCCGGCGAACGTGTTAAATCGAAGCACTAGCCCAATAATAAGGAGTGTTCGCCACTGACAGAACTGTTGAGCGGCACGGACATGTACGAGCCAATGACGTTGAGCGAGGTAGTTCCGTCGTCGATGCCGGTAGTAGTGGATCCGCTGAACGAGGTGCACGCCACGGAGTCCGGCCACTCGCGCAACAACAGCAACACCAGCCAGCTGAGCAAAGGCTCGGGCTACGGCTCGCTCAACTCGCACAGCCAGCACAGCCGGCAGAGCAGCAGCGGCGACAGCGGCCACATCAGGTACACTGGCGACGACGCAGCGGCAGACGCGCGCACGATCCTACGACTCGCTCATCGTCACTCGAATAACGACACGCACACGCAGACAACATTTCGAACGCACCTCATCGCATACGACGCCGTAGTTACTCTGCTCTCTTTCCACTTGTCGACTACACACACGCACACGCACACGCACACGATTCACACTCTCGGCCTGTATTTCTCTTGAGCGTCAATTAACCACCCGTGCAACACCTTGCCCCATCCAGACTACTTGCTCTTTACGTAGTTAACTTTTATTTTCTATAGCGCTTAGTCTGTTCCTGTTTGACTGCGCACTGGTGTTTCGCCCACTCTCTGATTCTGTGCACTGTTATATTGGCTGCTACCGTGATGTACCCGACACACGCCTGATGAGTTGACGTACCTCTCTAGTTTAGCCGTTAGTGTGCGTAGATGCTCCTCTGTGCCCTCTTTCTCCGGCTTTCGACTAGCGACCACGCGTAGAGACAGTGTCACGCTGCATTGCGTGACGACTCCGCGTATCCATTGAAAGCTGGAGCGTTGGTGTTCGATGTTGTCACGTCTAGATGTTTGCATCTTTGATAGCGCTTGCGCGGGTAGTCGTTGTCGACGCAGTGCGAGAGACCGACGCGCCTCGAGGCGAGAGCAGCCCACGTCGCCCAGGCGGGAGCACACGGCAGGGCAGCGCAGCTGCGAAACCAAACAAATGTCTATGTGTGTTGTGAATTGCCCGATTGCAGGTCTCCCTCGTGGCCGGTCTGGGCACCACGCCTGCCGAGCCACTCGCACGGCAGCGCCAGCACCCGCAGCGGCGGCCGCCACGCGGCTGGCCACAACGGCAGCGGCGACCACGGCGGCAACGACGTCGACCACGACGACCACGACGACCACGACGACCACGGGCACGGCGACGCACGCCACCTCGGACTCGAAACGTCCGGCGACCATTTGCCGATATCCCCGCCGTCGCCGTTAACCCTTGTCGTGCCCCGTCTGCGGCTCTGCTCGTCCCCGGCCGCCTCGACGCCGCTGTCGAGCGCGCGAAAGCGGAACGGCGGCGCCCTGTGCGACGAGTTCAAGTTTCGCGTGCCCGACAAGCCGGCCGGGCGTCCGCGCGTCGGGCAGCCGTCGTGGCGCGCCGCCTCGCAAACGTGCGACTGCATCGAGGCCGGCCGACGCAGTCCGGTGCTGAGGCTGGCCGAGCAGGCCCGTGCGGTCTCCTCGCCCGATCCCCTGCACAGGCCCGACGCCGTTCGGGCGTCCTTCATTGCTGCCGTGAGCGCCGCTCGGAACGCAAGGTAGGTTGCCTCGCTGGGAGCCTTCGTCGAGACGACGACGACGACGACGACGATGCCGCCGCCGCCGCCGCCGCCACCGCCACCGCCACCGCCACCGCCACCGCCACCGCCACCGCCCCGCCCCGCCCCGCTGCCGCCGCCCGCTTAGGGGCTATCGCTTCTTTCTCATCGCTTCTCCGACGAGGAATATCACTTTTGCCGCTTCTGTCGCCCGATACGATTATTATCGATTTTTTTCTTCTTCTAGGCTGCGTCTTCTCGCTCTTCTATTTTTGCATGTTCTCATTTCTTCTATCTATATATATATGCGTACGCACAGCTCTTGGCGATTATAATGATCGTAGATGGTTTTATGCGCTTCCGTTTCATGTGCACGCGAGCTTGCGAATCGTTCGAGACGAAATTGCGACGACTCGACGACGTCCTCGATATTTGTCGCGAGACACGCGGAAAAGCTCCGAACGACGCTCGCACGATCTGGCCCGAGAGTCGTCGCAGTTCTGTTCTCGCGATAAAAACTCTGTGGAATTTTCAGCGATTGCGTGACGATTATTTTCAGCTGCATCGACGATTGGCTTGCACTCTTTACACCGTTTGACGGAGATCCGCCGCAAACGAGCTTGCTGCTGCAAACAGTTTAGACACTCGAACTTTTCAGCCAAACATCACCGCCAAACAACGTCGTACATGTACCGTCTTACGCTCCATTCGTGCCCTTGCGCTTACATCGACACTCGCTCAACGGTCGCCGCGTTTTTTCCCCGTTTCATTCGGCTGAAATCACCGCGCTCGAAAAACTACTTTACAAGATAATCGATGCGATCGAGGATGCGTTCGCAGCGCTGACATCATCGTCACCAGTTGGTTTTTCTCTTCTTCTCGAGGCTGTCGGATAATTATGCCGTTCGATGACGGCGACAAGGAGATAGCAGCCGCCCACCGAAAGTCGCCTTTCCTTTCACAGGGATGTCGATCGGCCGCGATTCGCGAAGGAGAACGCGAAAGGGCATCGCGACAAAAGGGACGTTGACTCGCGCGCGCGCGCAAACGCAATACAAATGCCTCGCAAACACATTCATTCGCGCGATACACACGACCAAGACTCACGTAACGAGACAACGAGAGCCTCGTGGATAGTAGACCGTCGCACAAAGATCACGAGTCATCTGGGGCATTGTGTGTTGACTGAATTGCAGGGCCATCGGCGTCGTCGGCCATCGCAAGCTGCTGGAAGGTGCGACTCACGGCGGTAAACTTGCCACAGTCACCATCAGTCCCGACTCCGAGGAGTCCTCGTCGCTCACCTTGCCCTGCGAACTGCAGCATCGCAACAGCACTAGTCCACCGTCAGTCTCTCCACTCTTTATATTTCCATCCCTTCCGTTAGAGAATTTCGCACGAGAGATCGTTCGGTTCTTTGCGTTGCAACTTGTGAGAGATGCGTCGACGCGATTGCTTTTCCTTCTGGGAGGATGGCGATTGGTCGACTCGTTTATATCTGTGCCTCTCCATTTGGCGATCGTTTCTTTTTCAATTCCTACCGACGGATTTCATCGGGACTTGGTTTGACTTGGTTAGCCGACGCAAGTGCAGTTTTCATTAGCCGTTCTTTAGTCGTGAAAGAAAGCTTAATTAAATCGCCGCATACGATTCTAAAGCAAACTTTGCGATTTGCAATTGGAGAAACCGCGCGACGGAGAACATCAACTGACAATTCCCTGTTTTTTAGCCTAGCTGTACGAAAAATCTTGCTTGTATCCCAATTTCCCAAAAACTCCAATCCTGTAGATTATAATTTGAAGCGCCTTTGACAGCTTGCTTTGGGTTATTGGGTTATTGCATGAGCCTTACCTTTGTTATTGTTTTGCCATCCTGTACAGCTTTCAAGGATAATTCCCATTTTTCTGTTTGTCAATTTTCTTATTTTTATTTCACTTAATTTATCCTTTCATGACGGCGGTGCCTGCTATTACGTTTTTCTTTTCCGATTTTCGTCGGCAATCGGTCGACGTTCGTGCAAAGTGACAGCGACAATCTTAATTGATCGTTTGTTCGTTAGCGGTTGCCTTTGTTAAAAAGGAAAGAAGAAAACACGGGAATAATGTTCGACGATAAACTAATGGAACTGAGAGAGTGATTAGAAAGAGAAAAAATTGAAACTGTCGTAGGAACCCAAGTGGAGGTTCGGGTCTGAGCGAAACGGGCTCGCTGGATCGAGCGAAAGCTGCGTTGGAGCGCAGGAAAAAGGCCGAGGATGGCGCAGCGAATCCAGCTTTGTGCAGGGTCGAGGTCACTAGGCCGAATCCCGACTCGCTTATCGACGAACTCATCAAGGCGACTAACCTAGAGGAGTCGGTTCTCGAAACCACCGAGTGTAAGTGACACGTGACTTGCGAAGCTCAATTAACTGCTCCCAAGCTCTCGCCAAGTTAATCTCGAATTTTGAAACTTCGACGCTCGAAGCGGAAACCGAGGCGGAAACACTGTTGGGAAATCATACGTGGACGAATTAGATAAAGGCGAGGGGCGCCCGAATGAACTTCATTCCCGCAAAGAGACAGTGATATAACGAGAACGCGCGATTGTTTAGAGCCAACGAAGCAACTGTTACTTTCATATTTTTGATATTTCGGCTTATCCTTAAGTCGCTCGAAAAACTTCCGGTAACACTCCCGAGGGAATGGAAAGTTTAAACACGTTCGTTTAAAGCTATATTCACATCCTTTACTCGTGCTTGACGTCATCGTTGCACTACGATCAAGCCGCTCTTATACTCGACAGCAACCGAAATATAACCAGAGCTGGGTATCATCATTCATGAAATGGCTTATCATAACTCTCTGTTCGTCGCTGAAAAAAACTTGCGAAAGGGGGAAATTCTTCTCGTGCATTACAAAAGCGGCTGGCTGAATGGGATTACCGAGCGACTTCGGAAGATTTTTCGAGAAAACTTTTCGAAGCTCATTCGCGCGAGTCACTCGTGAATACATCGTGTATTCTCATTTACGACTAGTGAACTTGCCGTACATTAATCAATCTCTCACTTTCGATGCCAATGGGAAAATAAACGGCATAAGGATGATTGATAAATGTTTTAATAAAATAACTACACGACTGACGTATAATTAATCGGAAAAATACAAACAAATATGCTCTCGCAATAGCATATGGTTTTTTGCGCTACTCGCAATCAGCCACCAGTCGCTCGATTATTATCAAAATAGGCAGACAGCTTTTTATGCAAAAGAGTGTGACTAAAGTCGATGTTGTGCGTTACAGCGACGGGTCTGCAATTGTTCATCGGCAAAGACGGCACGACGGCATTGGGCCTTCAAGACGTCAAGTCACAGATCCCCGGCATAGCGTTCAAGCAGGTGGTGATGGAGGAAAACAGCAGGTAACAGGAGGCGGTGTTGGGCCGACGTAATCATCGGCTGCACGTGACCACTGCAGCGGCAGCGGCAAATGGCAACGGCAATCTTGCCGGATGCTTTGGACTTGCTCTTGTACCCGAACTCGCTTGCGACGACGACGCCACAGCCGCACGCCTGTGATCCTGCATTTATACACCTAACCTCCTGTTTCTTCTACGACGATGACGACGACGTCGTAGAAGACGATGTGATCTTTTACCGCTAGAAACGGCTGCTGATGCTTTTTTTTTCGCGAATTGCATCACATAAGAACGGCATGTGTGCACGATCTTTCTTTGTGCATGTCGACTTGACTTTCTTCTTCTGCTAGAGTTATAGGTTTTACGACGAAACGCCAAAATTTGGAATGATCGAATCATTTAGACAGCAGCGTTAAGTATTTTTAGTAATGACTTTAGTACATCCGTTTTGGAACTGTATTTTGCTGCAGTCTTGAATCTGTAGAGTTTGTGAAAAAACAAAAAAAAAACAAAATACGAAAAAAAGTAAAAAACAAAAAAACTACAAGCGTAGTCGGAAAAAAGTGTTGTCGATAATGTTCTTGAGCGAGATTACAAGTGAGAACAAAGAGAAAAAATTGAAACAGAAGCTTGTTTGAGCTGTGTTGACAGACGATGGATATTGTAACAATCACAAAGTTTAAGCAAGCTTAATGCTTATAGCAGGAAGCGATAACATTAACTCAAAGCGAGAAATTGACACGTACATACTTTTAATTAGAAAAAACACTGAATATTTTCTTCCATGAAAATAAAACATAAGAAGCACAAGATTTTTTGTCGCTGCGCTTCAACAAATGTGAAGCATTAGTCAGTAAAATCGCGAGTTCGAAGACGAGAGAGAGTATTAGTAGTGTAAATAAAATAAGCTTATGTACATTGTAAATCAGTAAGAAAGAATGCCGCTGCCAAGGCGCGACGGTAAACTTATAAATGTCGATGCTACGAGTGCACCAACTATTCTCCTCGTATGCTCATCCGAAAATAACTATTATTACTTATATATTATTATTCTTCTATTAGTCTTACAGTTTTTTTTCCTCTCTTTTTTACAGGGGTAATTACGTTTTTTTTCCAGTTTGAACGAAGTATTATTTAATTTTCATTTTTATTTGTCATTCCTGTAAGAAGCAAATGTTTTTCTTTTGCTTTCGAGATTTTCGAAAAGAAATTTTCAAATTAGAAGATTTTTTGATTAGATGAAGCTTAAAAGGTATTCTGTAAATCCCAGTGGTGTTTGTAAGATTAATGTTGATACACGTTATCGGCATGTTAATAAATTTCAATATTTGTTTTTGTTAAGTATATGTGGTTTGAGAACAATTTTTATTAACGAGAACTGATTTGGAGCGCAAATTATTTCATATTTGTTATCTAATCGTTACAAAACTGAAATATATCTAAAGCAAAATCATTCAATATTAATAATGAATTTTCTAAATAAACCACTAGAATATGCCGAACTTAATTTCTTTTAATATACTTTTTCTTATATTTTTCTGTGATTATTTCGATGTTCTTTTCGCAGTATCTTCCATGTATTAAAAAGATTTCAACAACGCTGTAAATTGGAATCGATGAAAATAAAAAAACTATCCTTAATGTTTATGAAAGCAGAAAGTAAATTTTCCATATTTTTATTGACAAAATTGGTTGGTGCAGCCCGTAATTATAATAACAATGTGTAAATATAGTTATAATGATTGTTATATAGCAAAATGGATGGTGTTACACACATTTTCTCTGTATTTAAAAAATATATAAAACTTGTATTATTATATGATGGTATGGTGCGTATTTTAAGAGAGGCCATTGTGAGTATACACGATAAAAGATTTTTCACCAAATAAACCGAATGTATACAATTTGATACAGGCACACTCTGTCGTTCACGATTTCTGTTCATATTCAAACTTTTGCATTGCATGTGAGATGAGTTCACCAATCTATTTTGAAAAAGAACGTTGTAAACAATATATGTAAGTTTAAATGTAAACTAGAAATCGTGATGCTCTTTATATTAATTGTCGCATTTCGCGATTACTTCCAGATCTTTTGTGAGTATTGAGTGAAAAAAAAACATTTTAAACTTACCGATCATTCAATTATTAGATGAAAACAGTAATTGTAAAAAATAGTAATAACCCGCTTTTCCTAAATAAATATTGATAAAAATTAAATCTGGCTTAAAATACTTTAGCAAGAAAATTGACACGGAGTCTGATAGTTGAAGCTGATTCTTCAATATTAATGAATGTGACATAGTAGCTAACAAATATACAAAGGAATTTAAAAACTGTTTTGAGATAACCGTGAGTTCGAAAAATATATTGAAAAATATCTCTGATTGAACGTCATCGAAATGCTAAAGTACTGCCAATCGACTGACTGGATAGTACACAATTTGTTTTATATTTTGACTGTTCCTCGTCATTATTTTTAAAGTATCTTTTGTAATACAAAATATAGCAACGAAATTGAAAACTTAGCAATTAGATAAAATTATAGTCGATTTACTAGCAGTCGAGTGTCAAAACTTAATCTTGTATTTAAATATCGGCCACTAGACCGGAAGCTTTTAATGTACGTTTTGCAGTCCTAGACGATTATAAAGCTGTTTGAAGTGTCAAAATATAAGTTACAAAGTAGCTGAAGGAACAAACGAAAGGCGACAAAGTTACGAAATTATTGGTACACTCGTGTTTGTAAGTATGCGTGTAAACGAGTCCAAAATGTACAGTGGTTTTTTAGTAATAAAGACGTCGCGCAGTAACTCGCGTATTTATATATAATATACAAATTTCACTGTAGATAAGATGGAGTTCTTTTTTAATTTATTTGAAAATAAAGCGACAGATTTGGTGGCTCCCTTGACTCCGCTAAATAATCGAGTGAGCATGGAACGATTCCTCTTTTTTGTATATTTTTTTGTAAAAAAACTGACAAGAAAAAGGTGAGCACGATCAGAATGGAATCTTGTATTTCTCCTTTCTCGCTATGTAATGCTATTTAGCGCAACGTCAGTTCTCGAATGATACATCCTAACGTGGAAAACTATTTGGACATGAAAATTTTTGTCTCCGAATGAAAAAGTCTGATAAAGATTTATGATAAGACACAAAGGAAATAAACTTTGGTCGTTCAATTTCTAAATTAGCGTTTCTTTCCAGCTAGTTTCTACATTTGTATGTTTTACAGATTCACCAGGACTTTTTGTACATACTTTAAATAAATTAACTCATTGTCAAATATATTTCAGATATTAATTAATGTTTGTGATATTTTACAACAATGTAATAATACCTAGTATTACCGATGGTATTACAACCTTTACTGCTATTTAAATAAACAAAAGAAGCGATTTATAATGCATTACGAGTACGTACAAATTACAAAATATCTTTGGTTGATCACTGTACGATTCACTTGCGTTAATCATTCATCACTATCTAACTTTGTGAAAAAAGGTGCGAACTTCCATGTGTTAATAATAACTTGAAAATTAAAACAATGTTGAATCTTATTTTTAACACCTTATTCCCGCTTTGCTCAATTCGATGCGCAATTATCGTTTCCAAATTCAAGCTATTTTTGAAAATGGTGTTCTGACAAAGCGGCTTTTATTTTGCATACAAGCTTTTGATCGCGCGCGTACATACATAAAACAAATACGGTGACAGACGTAGCTTTGTTTTGCAGAAGGTCATCTAGAAAACCGGGAAGCGGAACAGTTGATACTTTCTCCGACGTAATGTTAGCTAAGAGATAGGAGTAATCCATCGCGTGGTATCTTGCCAATTATCACATCGAGCGGAAATGTATGTATATTTTCGACAAAGTACTTTCCAATGTTCAGTTTCGTTACTTTGACATTCGTAGTTTCTGCATTTGTCGCACGAGTACTCAAGCCGGCCGTTACGTTTTTCGTTCGACGTTGTCACGATTGAAAGTCGACGCGCGACTGCTTGTCCCGTGAACTTGCCAAACAAGCGAAAGCTCGAGAGGTCTGTCTTACGCGTGCGCGGTCCAGTCAGTCGGCGCCAGCGCGATACGGGACGATGTCTATGGAAATGTTGACTTTAACAAATATTAAAAATATAGCCTTTACGAGAATGACGATATCGATATTAAATCCGTTGCAATCGTATTGATTGACGGGTGATGTAGAATTTCACCCGTAAGTCGACGCATGCAACATCGTTAATTATTTTCCAAGCATATTAAAGGAATTCAAGAAAGAGACTCGATCGCTTTCGTTACACAATGCGTTATATGGCAAGTGTCACTCGCGTACTTTCTCCGGATGCTTAATGATTAGCCATGAAAATAACGCTCATTACACGAGACGTCCATTAACAATTTTCACGTAATATCCACCGCGACACGTCACGTTGTCGACCGATTGCACTTGCAGAAAAAGAAAAAAGCTGGACACGCGCAAATTTCTCCAAAGGCGCGTAACGCGTCATTATAAAATTGCGGCGGGTGTACGAATGACGCAATGGGGGCCCGCGCGGACGATGAACGCGGACTTCTCGCAAATGCGCATTGCTGGACGCGAGCGGCGAACAATTGTTGGCTGGGCAGTCGCAGCCAGCGTCTCGACACGGACGCGGTCATAAGCAACAATGATGTTCCGACAGAGGAGGCCCGTCCGTCCGAGTGCGTCCGTTGGCACTTTCTTCCTCTTTCTCGGTGACCTTCTTTTCGCTTGAATCCACCTCGAGACAGAGCCGCCGGCGTCGGGCCTCGCGCGCCAGGCCCCGCCACGCGATTCGTGTCTCAAGAGCACTAGTTTCGTAACTCAGCGCCTCGCAGCTCCGCGCGAGAATACCGCTGGAGGAATCTTCTGTACGTCGACGATATCTTCGGTAGAGACACCACGGTGCGTACCCGATTGTGTGTGCGGGGCCTCACGGTCGTGGAGCTGGTATTTATCGAACGTGTCTGCTCGTCATCTCGTTCGCGTGAGGCTTCGGCAGCGCCGCGTGCCATCTTTAAGCAGCGTCGTCCGTTCGTTTTACAGACATTTTTACTTTGCGTTCTTGCTGCTCGGCTCCATCCTCGTCACCGACTATATATCTCACCTTAACGACTACACGCCTATGCGAGTAAATTATCTCGAGGAAGAAGGTGTGCGCGTTGTCGCGCTCTCGTTGCAATGATTTTTCCTCCGCAGTGTGGAAGTATGGATCGCCAGTTTCGCGTGTTTGAAAAATTATACGTCCCGCCGTGGACGAGAATCGAACCCTACATCACTGAAATTATCAGACCTTTCATCGATATAAGACTGAAAGGCACATTACCATTGCGAAAAGTATGCTGCAGTTTTATTTTTTATTTTTACCGCGTTTTTTTTTAATTCCACTTGTTCTCGTCGCAGGGAACCGCTGTGCTCGGTCGGCTGTTACGTTGTAGCACGGCGGAGCAACTTGTCCTTACTCTAAGAGCCTCAGACTTGGATTTCGGGAATAGATATGGATTAGAAGCACGACTGGATCCGTTGCTGTTTAGGCGCGGGTTCCAGTTTGAGCTCTACTAGTTTTGGAGAAGCAAGTCAGAGTGCCCGCTCCGGATCACACTTTACATGCGCCGGAGCTCGTTTCACTTTCACTTAATAGTGAGGATGTCTTAGTTCGCTTATTTGCTTATCCTGTACTTCGCATGTACTTAACTTTCTCCGTGTTTATTATTGTCAGCGTTTTGACGTTTAGCGCGCTGTGTTGTTACACTGTTCGAATCACGGAGGTAATTTTTACCTGATCAAACTCTGATTTAGAATATAACAACTATTTCCTAAAGTCTGTAAGTTATGACATTGAGATTTTAGTGTACAAGTGAATCAGTTTTTCTGTGCATCGCAGAAATCGTATTGTAATATTTTTTAAATTCTACATCATAGTTATTAAAATAATGAAACACGTGGAATATTATACACAAGAGACTTTATTTGATAGTTATATTGATAAAAACTTAAAAACTAAACATCACGCTTCGGAAATCCGATTTTTGTTTTGTAGAAAACTCTAAATTAAAAAGCACGAAAACAGAAGAAAGCGTGTTCGTTCACAAAACCTAATGATTACAGGTGTCGTGAATAAAATACTCAACTTCAAGGCATGGATTCCTCTGAGCAGACTAACGTATTACGCTTATCTGCTCAATCCCTTTCTCATTAATTCGATTTATCTGCGCAGCGAGTCGGCCGCATACATAGATTTTCTGCCGAACGTAAGCCCTCTAATCTCATAATCTCTTCCATAATGCAATAGAAGAAATGTGTATGTGCAATATTGTCGTTGCTTACAGGGCACAATATTCCTTAAGAGTCTGATGATGACTTAGATATGCTCGTACGTTTTGCCCTTGATGCTGAAAACACCTATAGTCTTGCTGATGCGTAAATTCTGCGACCTCGATGTCCAACGCTATTATATTATTCTTTCTCTCGTCGTTAACGCTTCTAACAAATGCTCGAGTATCAATTTGATTTTGTATCTCTAGACGTATAAACGTACGCTTGTTATGTTTTTATCCTTACGATTTTTTTTAGTTTTTGTTTTTAATATGTACATGAAACCTAATACGCGTGTTTGTGTATGCGTGCGTATTCTTTTCTCTCAATAATCATACATCCCACTTGCGGGTTCGAAAAAAATAAGTGCTTTGTACACCAGCTAGCACAATTGCAACATTTCAGTCGAAGGGTCATATATGTCTTTATCTCGTATGGTCATTCTAAGGATCATTTACATAGCTACAGGTAAGTAGAAGACGAGGCTGTTCCATCGGGTACTGCTAAGAGTGTACAGGTGAATGCAACCTGGGTACTCCGGATGAATTGAGGCCACGATTTGTACGAGCTGCCTGTTCGCGTCGACACTCTTCGGCTTTTTTCTTTAGCTGCTCTTTGAGAACTAAAAGCTCGCGCGTTCGTTGATATACGGGGTCCTGAAATTTTATGTTACATGTACAATGGTAAATGTTAAAAAACATATCTATTTAGTTAAACGTTGCAATAAGCTTTGAAATATTTTTTCTGGCTCACCTGTTGTCGCATACTAGGATTCCATCTACAATAAAAACTCTTCCAAGGCTTGATATATCTCATGCTTGCAATCGGTAATAAAACTGGTTGATAATTTGGACCATCCCAATAAAGTGGGTTTTGATAAAGTGGCAGTTGAGAGTTTATGAAAGACCACAAGGATACTGTTTTTTCTTTTACTTTCTCTTGCACTCGTTCTCTTTCACTGAAAATTGAATTTGTTGGATCTTAATAATCATTTTCAATCACAATGACAATCTTTAAGTGATTGCGCAATTCTTACCTGCTAAATAAGAAAGTTCCGAAACGACAAGAGTAAAGATGATCGAGTATGGTTGTAAGGAAATGCTCATTGAATTGAAAAGCATTCGGGAATTGCTGAGTCACTTGCCATACGCAATCCATGAATTGTACGAACACTGGCGATCTGTCTGCGTCACTGTGATGTTCGTCGCCATGACCAATTCTCTGCAAATCGACACTTTATCAATATTATTGAAATTATTTTTTGGTTGTACAATATACAAAGTTGTTACCTGTTGGAATTTATGTCCAAAACCAAGCCACTCTTTTTCAATCAAAACTTCAAAACCTTTGATCGTTCTGTAATACGGATCTAGTAAAAGCATTGCCAATGCCGTCAACTGTAAAATGTTCAAGTTGTTAGATGATACGTAAAGAATTTGTTTCGAGAAATTTTCGAATCTGATATTAAAACCTGTGCAGTTCTATCCCAACCATCGGAACAGTGAACTAAAACCGAAGTCTTGTGAGTCTCAACTTTATCCGCAATTTTCACAGCACCCGTAAGTATATTTTTTATATGCCTTAACCACATCGTTGACTCGAGACCAGATAGCCACCTATTTTCGTCAATTTTTGGAAAGCACAATTCTACAAACAAACGAAACAATTATTAGAAAAGTAGACGTAAAATAACACGAATATTTGCTATATGTATACGTATAGTGAAATTTCATCGAACCTTTTAATTTCCTAAGACTCTCCCTCATTACGTGAATATTATGAATATCAAGAAAGACGACTTCACTATTTTGATAAGCATCCTCACTCTCGTAACCACCGCCTTTTGCCTTGTTCGCCACAGCGTTAGCCATAGGTCGCGCATCCAAAATGAACAGCTTGTGGCTCTGCGCATTGGCGTCCATTATTAGTTGCACGTACCTTTCATCTTCGCGACTTCGCTTGCCACTAACACCAACGAGAGGCTGTGCGCACCGAGTAATAGTCGCTTGACTTTCCGGGTGGATCCACGAAAGAACAGGTAATCTACCTCTGCTTCTAAAAGCAGCTGAGGCATTTAGATCCTCATCCGTTGCTGCTGTTGGAACTGCCCAAACAGCTGGATAACTATCGCATATTGTGTAGGTGTCGTTTATCTTCGATATTTTCCACATATCATTGTTTATTCCCTAAAAAACAAGAATTAGTTTGTTTTATAAGTCTTTATTAAATTATGCACTTTGTAAACAATAATGTCAAACACCATTCTCTTCAGTTCAGCAATTGGTTCGTAAACATTCCAGCCGTTTTCAGGAAAGCTTTCAGAGTAATCAAAAGCAAACATAGGTAGACTATGCGACAGAGGAAATGAGAATTGTTGCAACTTTTCAAAAACATTTCGTCTGGAATGATTTTCTTGTTTGTGTGCAAATCTGAGATTCCTTATGTCTTTGCAGAAGATCTCGATGCCATAAGAATTCTCTCCTTTACTAGAGACACCACCAACTTTTTCTATTCTGCTAACAACTCCAAGAGGCATTTCAACAATGTAGGGAGTTTCTCTGTCGACACTGCGAAAATGCAGTTTGTAATTGGTGACAGTCAGTACACCTCGAGCTGGTCCTGAATATGGACACAGATACGTGACATCTCGAGCAGTACCCTGTACTCTCTCTCCATTGAGCAGTGGTGGTCCTATTTCATTTCCAGTGATGTTCTGCAAAACAATATTATGATTTAGAAATCAAATACTTTCAGAAAATCATTTTGAATATACACTATAATAATGACAAATGAGAAATGAATAAACTACTTATTGCAATGTAATATTTGTGTCTACTGAAATGATAAGGTATTATAATTATTTTTCAGCCTGTTATAATTAAATAAAAAATGACTAAGTGGTGATAATAAAATGCAACTGCAAAATGATTTAATTAAAAAGGAAAGTAATTCAAACTATATTTTTATATTTCTTTACCACATCCTCTTTCCTTTGATTTTCTTTTTTAGTTTCTAGGGCAGAAATAATATTGTTATCAGTGGAGGTTGAGCTTGTGGAAAAGCTCTTTGAGTGAGATGCTTTCTCCCAACTTTCCTAAAGTTAGTATAGATATTGAAAGATCAACAAATAAATTCTACTTGTATTAATTTTTCAATCTATTACTCTTGTAAACTATGAAAGAACTGTTATTATAAAGATTTGTACTTACAGATTCTTGTCCCATTTTGGAATTGAGTGAACTGCTCTTGCTGTCTGAATTAAGTGAATTGGAGCTAGCATTTTTAGAATTGTTTCGTTCAATGTTTAAAAGTTCACTGCTCTCTCTTTTATCCATGTTAGTAATTTTGACCTTATACTTATCTTTTTATCAATGACATTATATATAATTCAGTATCACGTTATTAAAAACTGTAAAACATAAATAAAGTATATGGTCTTAAAATCTAATAAACAATTAAATAAAGTATTATTATAAAAATTATAGAATAAATTATAAAAAGTAAGTTTTACAGACAGAATATTTTATGAAAAACTCATATTGATTCATAATAATTAGTTGTTGAAAATTATCTTAATTTTCATATAATCATAAAAATCTTTTAAGAAATAGCTGGGAGCATTAATAGAAAAATATATAGTAAATTTTTAAAATCAACGTAATAGATTGTTACAGTAAAGCTTTTGTAATAATTGAAATCCTAACCTCTCAACAAATAAAATTCGATCAGTGCATACACACGCTACTATTGTAACTAGTTTACGCAGCAAAACTTAAATTACTTAGTCAAGAATAGGAGTTGCTTGAAGCGCCACGCCCATGAAATTTTCAACTCAAACGCCGTGAAAGAATGACCAAATTGTAACTGAAATCAGTAGCAATGTTACTTTGCAAGTAACTAACCTTAATTGCAAAACAATCGTGGGAAAATCCTTATTTAAAATTTGTCAAATCGCCAGTCAACTTGTGGAGCTTATACTGTTTGACAGGTGTAGCCGCACTGTAGTTCGAAGCGCGACTGCCAGATGACACTGAAAGGTCGAAAGTAGTTCGGTTGGCCGTCGAGGGGAGGTGCGTTAGGTTTCTACGCTAACAGCTGCCCGGTGTACGATCACGTCACCCTAAATAGGCCAGATAAGATTTTAAGACAGATTCTTTTAGTGCAAAAATGAAGGGATGAATAAAACCTAGGGGTCACCAGGACAATGTAAATAAATACTCTACATAAAATCTAACTCGATATTTTGCATCACTTTTATTGTGAGGGCTTAAGTCAGTTAAAATAAGTTTTCCAGTTTTGTGAATCATGGTATATATATTAGAAAATATAAAATAATAGTTAAAAAAATACAATTTCAGTCGTTGCGCGATTAATTACGTTGATTAGTTATTGTAAAAAATACTGTAGCCTACAAAAGTGGCCATTTTAATAACATTGAATATTTATCGTTAAATGAACTTTTTTAATTTGTATTCTTATTTAAAAACGCTTTAATGGTTCTAAAAAATATGATGTACCTGATACAATCTGATACAATCTGAAGGTCTGAAAATTTAAACAACTAGGACACGCTCTGATGCTGGGCAAAACGCCTTACTATGAATATCTTTTAAATATTTCTACTCAATGTAACTAGATTTTAGAATTGTTTCTGGCACATAATCATTTTCAACTTAAGATTTCCTAACTTGAAGAATGTATTATTAATCATTATAACTGATTTTCTGTATGAGAACATCATTAGAAAAATGCAAAAGTGAAAAGTTGGGTGGATCGCCTCTATTTATCGATTTAGTTGTAGCATTTTTGTATGTCATGTTTGATCAAGTTCCAAAAAAGTGAAAAACATCAAGTGTGCTAATGTAATAAAAATTTCTTTTATTTAATTGATTTTGTATCGAATTGAACGACGATAAAATATGATCGATTGACATATGACGTACAAATAGTCAATACTTGAATAATTGTTCTATAGTTGAAATAAATATCTATACATGGCATAACGTTCTTTCCAAGGCAAAAATCAAACTTTTTCGAATTGTCGTGATTTCGATTTGACTGTATCTTGGATAGTGCAAGTAAACAAAGGTAGGGTTGTCAGCACGGACAGGATCAATGAAATAGAGAGAGGTGAAGTTTTTCAAGAGAATTGAAGCTACTGAAGCGGCCGCATACTATTAAGATTTTATTACTTTTAATAGTCAAAATTAAATCTTCAACCGAGTAACTTGGAATTTGGAAGATGTCATAACGAAATCGTTATTAGATTTCAGTAAAAAACTATCCATTTATAGTTTCAATGTTTGATTAATAATTTCAACACCAATTGCTATTATACGAGTAATACACTCTATAATAAATTTTTGTTAATAATAGTAAGATACAAAGAAATCAAATTATTTACCGAAGTTTACAGGGCAAATTGATGAGTCGTAGCCCTTCAATTTAAATATAAGTCGACAAATATATCAAAAAGGATTTCAAGATACGCAAATTCTTTATAAAAAAGAATAAATTTGTTTCCATTCGCACACGAAATAATTTGACGTATTGTTGAAAATTAAAAGAAAAAAATGTTGCACTGCAATTGGCTTTTCTTTTTTTCGCGGTATAAAATTGAAAGATTTATCACTGCCACGCATTTATTAACGACCAGATAAGAGTTTAACGGCACATTCGACGTAAATTGACCCGCATGTATGTGCTCTAAATTTGATTTTTGAACAACGTCTTTTACCACACTGGCGAATCTTGTATTTCGAATTATGCAGCTGCTAATGTAGTTTGCTTTTCTTGCAAAGCTTGGCTCGTGTTACGAATGCGAAAGAGAAAAGAAATTTCACTTTGCATGATATAACGTATATGCCGTTTCCAGTGAGTTTTCTACGTATTCGTTCAGACGTGGGTGTGCGCAAGTAAGAATAAAACATACAAATTGATAAGGAGAAATTATGAATTTATTTACGAAAAGAAAGTCTGATTCAACAGAATAGTAGATCGCTGAAGTAGTCAATGATTATTATCTGTTACGCAGCGTATAATCATCGCAATTAATGACCGGAAGTGTATGTGTCTGCGCGCGCGCGCGCGCGCGCGTGTGTGTGTGTGTGTGTGTGTGTGTGTGTGTGTGTGCGCGCGCGCGTGTATTTCTAAAGGTCAATTCATATATATCTCTGCAAGTACATTTTGTTTCTTTCTTTCGTAGTGTATGTTGTAACATGAAATATAAAATTTGTTCAGCCTCAACTACATATATATATAGTTCCTTTTTTGTTTCTGTCGTATAATCTTTTCATAAATTTTCTCTCTCAATTAGTCATCATTCGATAACATGGTCAACATAGAAATATACAGTTATCACGTCAAAGATGTTTTGTTGTCTCTTATTTAGCGCATTTGAAACGGTTTTCTTATCGTTACATTTACTTTGAATCTATACACATTATTACGATTTTTTGTTGTGTCTCTAGAAGCCTACAACCGTATATTTTTTCCGCTCTCAGTAAATTGCTCAACGTATCTCCATATATACCTTCATCATTCTTTACTTTAATCTTATTATTTCTGCTCTTAAATTCATTTTATAAATATATGTATTTACATATATAAAGCGCTGGCGTTTTGTACACACGCATATGTACGTAAAGCCATTTTATGTATATATACATGCGAAATCGCTTATTCTTTCTGCACGATTATTTCCATTGGAACATTGTTAATACATTTATACAAGTCTGGATCAAGAGCTCGCGTAGTTATGTATACATATTTGTCGACCATCGATCTCACTTTCGTCACGCGATCTTGAATTCCATTCTCATTATCGCTCCTTTGGCACTTATAATAGAGAATGTCTTGTTTATTCTATATACGTCAGTAGTACAGAGAAGATTATAGGACTGAATTTGGTTGCTGTAATTTTTAGCTCTATATGCATTTTGGCTCGTGTGGATACTTTACGTTTACTCTATGGGACAGTAAAAAATAAAACACATAGAAATTAGTTTTCATTAAAATTTATATCAAATTTCTTTAAATTTTACGAAATTTTCTTGTATAGTTTAGTTAATTCAGAAAGGAAGATTATGTTACTTATAAATGCCATCAAACTTTATTGTTTTGATTTATTTTTGTTTTGAGTATGTGTTTTCAGTTATTTTTAGTCTTCTTTGACTATTTTTAACTATTGTAATACATCAATCTTTCTGGATTGTACTTCTTATGAATAGATCATGTCACTTATACGTCGAACCGGTCGATTCTTTTGATTTATGCAATATGTCAACTGAAAAATCCTAATATTTTTATAAATATCAAGGGTCGGGATTTTTTTAAAGGATTCAGAAAAAGGTTTACCCGAGTTACTATTGTATTCAACGTAAAGACAAAATGGAAAAATTTATTGTAATTATTATCTGATGTGAATGATACAATGTGAACTTTTCTTTGCTCAGTATAAAAGTATAAAAAAAGCGTAATTTGGCAATTGAATAGTTATTGCGAAAAAAATTAACTCGTCACATGAAATTTTGTTTCGAAAATAATTCTTCTAGTACTCTTATTTCTCATTGAACATTATTTTTAACAAATTTACCTTTACTCTCTTATTTCCAGCTTGATTGATATTTTTTACAAAAGCATACATTTTGAACGGAAAAAAATCGCAAATGAACAATCGAGAAAAAAAAAATTAGCGAACAAAAGTTATCGATAACAATATTCTTGCTCCTACTGACGTTATAGCGCGCGACCTATTTTGAGAACGATCAAATTCGGCAAAACTCAAGTGAACAATTATACGTATGTCTCGCGCATTAATCGATATTTGTTTTTATTTTTATTCTTGATAAACTGCAAAACAACAAACGCAGCATATCCGCAGTCTTGGAATTTGAAAGAAAAAAAAAGAAAAAAAAAGAAAAAAAAAGAAAAAAAAAGAAAAAAAAAAGAAAAAAAAAGAAAAAAAAAAGAAAAAAAAAGAAAAAAAAAAGAAAAAAAAAAGAAAAAAAAAAGAAAAAGAAGAAAAAGAACGAATTGCTTAGCAATTTCCACGCAGAGCTACGAGGATCGTGTGGCAAGTCGTTGAAAAGCGCTTGCAGGCACGAGAGCTCAGCGTCGTGGTCGTCGGCCGGCAAACGGATCGCGCGCACGCGCACCACCACGTTCAATCGCCTAGAGTCCAAATCTCTGTGGGCCGAGAGCCTCGTTTTTGAATATTGCGGAGCGCGCGCAGTGTTGTCGTTTAATCAGTCTTATCAAAGTAGCCGATCGCCAGGTGGCTCGGGCTGTCATCACGTGACACGGTTCCTACTCTGGATTTGGAACTGGTGCACATAGGGATTGCCAGGCGAGTTTCCGATGAGCGCGCCGGGCGGCGCTTCGTGCCTGTTGTACGAGTTCGGCGAGTAGCCGGCGTTGCTGTAGCGGTCAATCGAGGAAGCGGCCGACGGCTGCACGGAGACGACGCCAGCGGCGCCGGGCGGCGGTCGCAGACTCTGAGTTGGGCTCTGGCTGATCGGCTCGAGCACGTGTCGCGGCATACTCGGCGGCGAAGGGCAGTGGTAGCTCGCGACGTCGTGCAGGCCGTCGAAGCGCGCTCTCTCCGGTCGCTCGCGGTCCTTCGAGCCGGACGTCGCGCCGGCGCCGATCGCGCTCGGCGGGGACTTGTAGCTCGCGTGGTCGCGGCTCGGCAGCTGCTGCGGGTAAAGCCGGCTCGATGGCACCTGGTAGCGCTCCGACGATGCCGCCTGCAAGCTGTTGCTGCGATTCAGTTCCGCCACCGAGCTGGACCACGAGGCGCTGGCCAACTCCCAGCGTCGCAGCATCGTGTCGATGTGCTCGCGGCGCTGCGACGCGTCCGAGCTCTCGTCGTAATCAGGACCCTGCAAACAAACGCGCGCTCGTTTCAAGTGCCGCGCCTCTGATGCAACTCGCGCGGCGAATCGCAACTCGGTTCTGACGATCGAGTTTCTTTGATGCCAAAGCGAGCGCGACAAAGGCGACAAAGTGGAGATAGAGAGGCTGATTATAAAACGTTACGTTGAGAAAGGCTGACGTCGAACGGACGACATCAGCGGAGGAGCAGTTCGCTCGTCGGCAATAGCAAACGATCGCGAGAAAGTGGCGTCGAAAAAACGATGGCGATGAAAATAAAAGCGCTCCAAGGCCGCGGTGCGCTTCACCTCGAAATATCCGCGCAGCGAGCGCCGTGCCGATAAACGGCGAGCAATGTTTGCTCGGCGAACACGCTCGCGACCGAGCGGGAAGGAATGCGCTGGCGAGCGAGTCACGCGGAATATTTTCATGAGCGGTCGCCGCGATTTTCCGCTTTCCGCGACGCGGCGATCCGACGTCTGGATTTTCACTCGACGAGGCCTATCGAGGAAGCGGCGCGTCGCATGGCTGAAAAAACGAGAGCGCGAAATCTCTCGTGGCTCCTAGACGGCAACGTTGATGCCTTTTTCCCCCTTGGCTTATTTTTCTTTATAACGGCTTTCGGCTTTGAATTTACGCTCGCGGCGGCGATAAACTTTCGATGTGCTTTGCATTTTAAGACCGCGTCTGCGTTTAATTTCCAAGTTTCCAGCTGAATCTCAGTCTCGGGCAGTCGTAGCGCTCTAATAATCACACCGACGTGATTATTAGAAAAAACGTAAATAAATAATTCAAAGGGAAGGCAAATGGACGTAAAGCGCGCGTACACTCGCGGTCACGACGTACGTCGGACATTGCTAGGCAGCCGACGTGTCGCGTCGCGAATGCCAATGCACGACAACGATCGAGTATAAGCGCGATTCTTCGAGGGTCGCCACTACGCTCTCATATGTGCGAGTAAAAGAAAGGATAATCGTGGACACTTACGCTTTCGATTTTCTCGTCGAGCATTTTGAAGAAGTCCAGCTGGCTGGTCGATATCTCGCTGTAAAAAAAGAAAAGGAACGCTAGATCATCGCCTGGTCAACGTTCGTTCGAGAATATGCTCTACGACATTCGGCAAACGTCCGCGCGTCGATATCAACGGCGAAAAGACGAGAGCAAAGGAATATAAATGACAAGGGTCGAGCGAGGTGAAATGCCACAAATCTCGAGGAAAAAACAGAGAAGGAGATAGCAGCGACTGGTGGTAAATAAGAAGAAACTGCCCCTCCACGTTTTTTTTTCAATCAGCAGCCGGGTGAGCGAGCCGCGCGCGGATTCGACGCCAAGTCGAATGGGCTTCGATATTTGATAACCCATCGAGATTCGCATCCAGCGAGAAGACAATGAGTTTTAACAAGATCGCGCGGGTTAAAAATACTCTCGCTTTGCCACTCACTGATCCGGAAAAGCTGCGGAACCGCGCGAAGACAAAGGGGAGTGGGGAGGAGAAGCGAATTGCCGTCGGTCGCGCAACAAAGAAAAAGCCGGCGGATCGAGCGGGGAGCGAGGAGCGTGGAGCGGGGAGCGGGGAGCGGGGAGCGGGGAGCGGGGAGCGAGGAGCGAGGAGCGAGGAGCGAGGAGAAAGGAACGAGGACGCATCGGCACGGGTCGCTGAACTTGAAGGGGGATGGTGTCCTCCTCCCGCTCGGCTTTTTCGGACTCCGCGCAAATCGATAGGGCACGACGCTTCCCCTTCCTCGCTCGCCGAATCGTCAGCCGAGCGCGAAACGAGCCGACGCTACGCGAGGCGGCGGCGGCCTTCGCTCGTCCCTCCAGGCGAGCGCTTTGCCGCTCCGCGACCAGAGCCGACCGCCGAGCTCGGGACACCGGCAGCTCCGCGGAGAAGCCACCGCGCCGAACGACGCTGGGCCTCGAGGCGGGGACTCACGTCTGTTGCAGCAGGGGGCCACCGCCGGGGACAGCGGGCTTCTTCTTGGCGAGCGAGTGCTTGTCGAGCAAGCCGTTCTGCTCCTCGTTGCGGTTCACCTCGGCCCCGTTGTTGTTGGTCTTGCTGGCCTTGTTGTTGCCGCCGTTCCCGTTCTTCTGCTCGATGGACGCCGAGCCTGCAACGCAAAATAAGTCCACGCGTGAAAAATCCAATCCGTGCCCCTCCTAGCGCGCTTGGATCCGGGGATCGGCCTGCGTTCCAGAGATCTCTCTAGTTGGCGCGACTGCCGTTTAATTGGAAATTCCGCGGGGATCCCGGGCCGCCGGGCGAGAAACAAGCGAACCAGTCCGCTCCGGAGGCCCCGTCGCTCAAGGGCGCTCAGCTCGCGGTTCGCCCTTGGACGCGCGGGCTCCGGAATTCGCCGGGGAGACGACCAGACAGATGTCGCCGCTGGCGCGCGACCCTTGCGCCAGGAATAGTTAGCCCAGCCGCGGGCGGCTGACTCTCTGCTACTCGACCTTGTTGCGCGCTGTCGCGTCGAGCTGCGCGCGCGACGCGAGACGCCAAAGCAAGCGAGCAAAAGGGGACGACAGGGGGGTTGGGTCGCGCGTCTGCCTAAATGCCTCTTCGATTAACGCGGCTTATCTTGTCGTCCCTCCGCAGCAGCCAGCCGGCTGTTCCTTGCTCTCGCCGCGAGGCTGCTGCGTCGTCGTCGTCGTCGTCGTCGTCGTCGTCGTCGTCGTCGCGGGGTGACTCTGCGAAAATCTGCCCCGCCGACTTGGCTTCGCTGCATCGATCGGGCTTCGTCGCGTGGCGCGGCGGCCACACTACTCGGGCACGACCGGGCCTCGCCGGCTTCGCTTATTATCCGACGGCTCGTCGGCCTGCCGAGCGCGACCTCTCCTCTCGATATCCTAGCCCGGCTGATCGCGCGCGCGACACGTGGCTTCCGCCTGCTCTTCCGGCATCGCCTGTCCGCTTCGTGTGAACTTGAAGCGGGATGGTGGACACGCTCGCTTGTGTCTTCCGTGCGATTGCTCCTCCTCCGATAGTCGACGCTCCGCGGAGCTCGCGGGGGGAAGATCCGATGCGCGTCGTCGCGAGACGAGATACCCGGGCAGTCGATGACGATCGCGCCTAGGCCAAGTCCGAACCCACTGTGCACAGGCGCAAGGACAAGAGCTCGCGCGGGGTCGTTGACGCGCCTCGACGTTACGGAAAATTGCACTCGATAGTTTTCGCCTGTTGTCGCCGAGTTACATTATGGGCGCGCAACGGGCATTTGTCGTACCCGTGGGTACCCCCGCCGAAGGAGGAATGAACTCGATTTCGCAGTCGCTCTGTGGTGCAATAAAAATAAAGGATCCCCTCCCCCCTTCTTTTTAATCTTTTGTCGGCGGAAGTGCGCTTCTGATTTGGAGCGCCTCTTCGCTATTTATAACGAGCGCGCGCTCGTTCGACAACGACATTTGCTGTCAACCGTACAGAGCTTAATTGAACTCAGAGCGGGACTCCGCTTCTACGGCAGTCACAACTCGAGCTTTCGCAATGATCGGCATCGCGCTGTGACATCTCGACTAAGCTTTCTTCTGCATCAATAGTGAGAGATCTTTGAGTGACTTTGAGCCTCTCGGCCGAACTTGCGTAATCGCGCTCGTACCATCCGCTAGCTCGTGAACATCGAATCTTCCGCGGCGAAACTTCATAACAGTTCGTTCGTCGCTACGATTCAACTCATTCGTAAATGGCGATCTCGTGACTTTCTTTCTTTCTTTGCTTTTTTTCAACATCCGTCACAGTCACGCGAAGCTTTTGTCAAACTAGAACGCAACAATAAAGCTCGATTAGTCGACGAAAAAAAAAAAAAACAGCAAAGAAAAAAGGGAACGGTCGATTTCGCCGAAACGCCCGGTAAACCGCGCGAAAAACGAGCGTCCGTTTTTTTCCGATACCGAAAATAGAACGCCGATGCTCGCGTATGCAAACGCGGAGTGCAAATATAAACTGATTAGCTTAATAATCTGCGCGCCTCGCGACTGCGAGCAAACACTGACACGCTGGCGCCGTTTGGACTAGAGATTAGAGCAGTTTTTTCGTTGCTTTTCTTTCCTCTCCTCGTCGCGAATGTTTTCGAGCGATCGGAGACGGATAAGCATTGATAGACGCGTCACGAGCGAGCAGTCGGTTTTCAGCCGACGAACGCTTCAACGACAATATTTCTCGGTCGCGCCGGGCTTCGAACGGCTTTGGCTCGCGTGCGTGGGACCCCGTGAAACGCGCACGCATCCAAACGGCGATCGCGAATGACGCAAGCTTCGCTCGACACCGCGCTCGATGCAAGCAAGCTGCCCCCCCCCCCCCCGGCCCCCATCCCGAGAACGAAAATAAAACAAACAAAAACGCGATCAATCGAGCTTCAAGCACGCGAACAGAGAAGAAAAAGATGAGAAATCCGCTGGCGCGATAAGATGCGCGACGCGGGTGTCAATTAAAAAAATTTCGCGTACACAACACACACACGTTGCCACATACGTGTATATATATATATCGCGCGAGTGACCTCGGCTCTCGTCGAGATACGCGCGTTTATTATTAGCAAGAGCGGCAAAAAAAAAAAAGAAAAATTCCGATTAGATTTTCTCGCGCAGAGCCGGCTGGCGAGTTGCATCGGGAGCCGATGGAACGTCACGCCAAGAGAACGCGGGGAGATCGCGAGCAGAGTCGCGCCGCGCGAAGCTTCCGTCTTTTCTCCGCTGCCGAGCGAACCACGCTAATCGACGGATATTGGCACTGGCTTCTTTGTGTTCCGTCCGATTGGGCGCTCGGCGGCGCGACGTCGCTTCGAAAATAATCATATAGGATGTCAGGGGCGCGCCCGTCGGAAAGCAATCCTCGCCGTCGGTGACGAGCGCGCGTACACAAGCAGCGTGACGCGTCCGAAAATAACGCCGAGCGCGCTAATTATAGCGACTCGATTCGGCAACGTAGGAAGGAATAAAGGAAAGAAACGCGACGCAGAGTTGCGAGAAAAGTGTGGCGACAAGCGACTCGGAGCGCGAGCTTGCGGGCTTCCCTTTGCCACGCGATCGCCGCGGGGTATTACTTCTCGCGCATGTTCCGTGGTTGCTAGCTTTTCCTCGTTGTCTTCGTTGTTCTCGGAGACATTTTCGCGATCGTTACTCCAAGCAGTCTTCCGATGAAACTAGTCGCGTGTCCGCGTTATCGAACAACGCCGAGTCGTTTTTCACCGCGTTCGCGCAGAAAAGCGCATCGCGTTGGGTTCGCGAATTCAAAGGAATTCCAGTGTCAGTCGACTATCGACTTTGCCTCCTTTCTTTTTCGCTCTCGCGACAAATCGAATGTCGATTGTACACTTGATATATAACGCTTGGCTTGATTTTTGCGTCGTGCACAGGCGGCTCCGCTCGATTGAGTATGCCATTTCCGAAATGGACTCGCTCGCTTCTAAATATTCACGAGGCGAAAGGAGAGCACGCGGGCGGATCGATCCATTATCGGCGACATTGTTGGTATAATGCCGATAGGCGTGCGTCTGTTTTCTCATGTATTTCACGCTCGTCGATGATAATTTGTCCGATGGACAAACTTTAATTACTCGTATAGCAGCGACGACGTCATTCGCTCGCTTTCTCTCTCGAGTTAATTAGCGCATTTATTCTGCCGATCGGTTCGTTTTCCTTCTCACGCTTAATCCAGCGGAGGAAAAATAATTGTCTTTTCTCGCGCCGCAAGGGGATTGATTCGTGAAGCTGCGAGAGGAGAAAGGAAATACATCGACTTTGATGTAGAGAGAAATGGGTAAATTGATTATGCATTTGACTAAACCGAGCCTGAATCCGAAACGTGAGCCCTTTGATCATTCGCAAAAGAAAAACAACTGGGGAACTCTCTTGGCTCTCGTGCGAAAATAAACTTTCATCGCTAGTAATAAATTCTCTGATTGAATATTCAAACTCGAAACAATATTTATCCCCGAGGGAGTGCGAGTCATCTACGATAGATCTCCCGTATCAGATCTCGCGGCAGACGCGCGAGAAAAAAAAAAAGTTCCGCGACTTATCCCTCGTCACGATAATCCCGGCACGTAAGAAACCAAAGACCAAGTCGGCAAACTTTCCATCGCTAAATCCCTTCGTTTTGTCTTTCGTCCCTCCCTCGCTCGATTAAATAAACTTCCGATAGAAATTATACGTTCGGCGCGCTTACCCCTCCGCCCGTGGCCGGCATCTTTTTTCTCATTTTTACAAGAGGATTATTTGTAGCGAGTCGATTACGTAAGCGGCGAGTAGACTTTGATCGAAGGCAATGGGAAACTTCGCGTGTTGCGAACGTCTCAACTCGACCGAGACTTTTGATATGTTTATTCGATCGTCTCGCCTGGCGTACAGTTGTCGACAACTTGTTAGAAAAAGAAGACATGTGACCAGTTCCGCCCGTGTTGTTGTGGCTTCGGAAGTCCGATGCTTGGATTTCCATTCGAGGGAACATCCCGAAATTGTTAGCTGTTGGCTCAGTGCCGAAGGTCAATCATGCCGAACCGACTTGTAAACGGTCCGCGAAAAAAAAGAAATTGAACGTTTGAAAGTGCGAAAGATTTGGAAGAGATTTGTATGGCAAGCAGGCGACGGTTTTTTGGCTTTTTTGGCTTTTTTAGCTTTTCCGACTCTGATGCAGTGAGAGCTTCCGAATCCTCGTTAGTTGATCGTTCGTTCGTTGACTTCTTCGAGAATTTTAGATTTATCATTAGAATAATTGTTTATTGCGGTCGCAGGAGATTGGGTCGTTGGATGACAGCACGTAATAATTGTTGAAATAACGCGAAATTTAGTTAGTCGAATAATTTCCATTTACAGCAAATTGTTCCGAGAGATTATTAAATTTGTTGGGTATAGGGGGAGCACGTGATATGCGTGTCTGAAATTCAATGATGCTAAATCAATATCGCGCTATAACGACACTTGCCTACACAGCGAAACTGCATTCCCATCGACAATGAACATTGTTTTTCGCAAAAGAAAAAAAAAGAACTCGTACACGAGAGCGAAAAAAATCTCGCCGATACAGGCGTTTGCCCGGCAGAGAAAGCGCAAATATTTTTCAGATAGCACTTGAGCAGGCACACGTGAATTCCGCGAGCTACGTTATCATCCGTAT